TGCCCAATGTTTGTGCAATAGCTCTGATCGATTTTCCCTCTTCTCTCAGCTTCAAAATAATTTGCTTTTCTCCCATTGACAGCTCTCTGGTCTTCATGTTTGCTTAACAGCAAATACTGCTTTCACAGGTGAAACCCAAAGCCAAAAGCAAGAACTATTTAATGTCTCAGCAATCAATCTAAAGGGCACCACCTGAGCAACTAGAAACACCCATCAGTCACATGTTCCAATACTTTTGCTCACTTTAAATATGGATGGGTTCAAAGAAAAGGGGCTCAGTCCTGAGTTGTTTAACACACCTGGATGTCAATACCATGAAATAAAAGCTGGAATTCTGAACTTTTGTCTCATATTCATCCTTTGATCTGAAACCCAAATGTCTTCAGTATACAACAAAAACAAAGGAATTGCCCTTGCCGTTCCAATACTTTTGGAGGGGACTGTATTCCGTGAGGCTTGGGGGCCGCCAGCGGAGCTGCCTGTGCTTCTCGTGACAGCTTGAAGACATACAGTTGTTGCGTATCCTGCTGTTAAATTCAATCCAGATCCTCTGGAATCCAGCTTTAGCTCGCTCGCCCTCAGTCTTTACCCTTCCTCCCTCCCTACATGCTGTGTCCTCTTTGAATGAGGGGTGCAGAAACACGTGGTTTCTTCGAGTAATCTCACAGTGTGTTATGTGTTATGATTTGATTGTGTGCTCTGCTTTTGTCTGTTGTGTGTGCACTTAAGAGGCAGTAGCTGTTTTTTTGTGCTTCCAAATCAAGACCAGATCCTTTTCCAACCCTGGCAAATTGCAAAGCTAGATGTTTTATTTTGATATGCCACTCCACAGATCCATGTATGTTCTGCCTTTCATCTGTCGCTGCTAACATTTCTGTCTATGCTGGGTGACCATTCATTCCTCATGGCCCGTTCCAAATCCTATATGGAAGCTGTTTGTGTTGCATTACAGTGTTTTCCTTTTGTATTTGCACTACTTGTATCTTTGTGAGGACCATTTAAAACACAAAACAAGGAACAGCTTTTGTCAGACAGGGGTCGTTTACATATTATGCCATGTTTTTATCTAATAAATCATGAAGTTTAGTTTCAGGTTAAAGTTTGAATACATTTAGTGATTTCCATGATAAATAGACTGTACCGTAAATTCCAGACTATTAAGCGCACCTGAATATAAGCCGTACCCACTAAATTTAAAAAGAAGAAAATAATTGTATATATATAGGCCGCACTTCTCTATAAGCTGCAGTTGTCCACGTTGTAACATGGGATACTTACACATAAAGATTTTTGTTCACTTTTAATTAAATAAATGCTTTTTTTCCCGAACAGTGCCTAACACGCCTGGTTACACGCCATAGTTGGAATGCACAGGGGAGACTTAGTGATCTGCTCCAGGGCCGAAGCTAACCTTAGCTCCCGGGCTAACTCACTCTCACTCAAACTCACTTTGTGCTTGTCCGCAGCAGAGGTAAACAGAAACAGGGAAGTTGGGGTCTTTATTATCAGCCACACCGAACACAACAGAACATACACAGC